TTTGATGATACAGTTGATATACTAATATATTGATACTAATCTACTTTTAAATTTTTTTCTATTGTAAAGTTTAGGCTTATAATTGTGCTTTAGGGCTTATATCAATTTAGGCTTTGAAAAGGGGTTTTTAAGCTTAAGAAAATGAATTTTTGGTTTCCAAAGCAATAGTATTGTTTACAGTGAAAAATTGCAAGAACTTTCTTTACGAAACAAAAAATGGCAAGAACTTTCTTTACAAAAAAAAATGGCAAGAACTTTCTTTACAAAACATAAAATGGCAAGAATTTTCTTTACAAAAAAAAATGGCAAGAACTTTCTTTACAAAACATAAAATGGCAATAACTTTCTTTACAAAACAAAAATTGGCAAGAACTTCCTTTACAAAACCGAAAATAGCAATAACTTTCTTTACAAAGACACAATTTTGTTTTTGCTATTTTTATGTTGTGCCATTGTTTTTACGACGGTTTCCTTTTCCCAGTAGAATTCATGTCAAATTTGACGCATTTTACAAAAAAAATATATTTTAATTAATTTTGACTTGAGAAGTGTTGCATTACTATTCAACTACCGTTCACGGTCATTAGTAAAATTGTTTTATTGCATTGTAAGGGAATTGGGTTATTGTGATGACATTGTTTTGTTATTAATGCTTCGTTTGTTACGGTGGTATGAAAAAAGTTTTGTCGCATTTTATATTCTTCTTTATGATAAGAAACGACGAGACTTTTTAATTTGGAATGGCTAATTCAACGAAGCCTAGTAAGCCTACTAAGCCTATGCCTACTAAGCCTATGCCTCCTAAGTTTATGCCTACTAAGCCTAAGCCTACTAAGCCTAAGCCTACTAAGCCTATGCCTACTAAGCCTAAGCCTACTAAGCCTAAGCCAACTAAACCTAAGCCTACTAAGCATAAGTCTACTAAACATAAGCCTACTAAGCCTAAGTTTCCTAAGCAGAAGTTTACTAATCCCAAGCCTACGAAGCCTAAGCCTACTAAGACTCAGCCTACTAAGTCTAAGCTTACTAATTCTGAGAGTGGTACTCCTAAGCCTAGTATGCATATGTCTATTAAGCTTAAGCCTGCAGAATTTAAGCTTAAGCCTAGTAAGTCAAAGCCTAAGCTGATAGAAAACTATGTCTTCTTTGAGTCTACTTAATAGTGAGCCTAGGCGTATTAAGCATTGGTCTACAAAAGTTAAGCCTTCAAAGCCTAAGCTTATTACCCAGCTATTCATCCTACCCCCCGTTCCCCAGCTATCTCTCCCTCCCCCCCCCCTATCCTCTCCCTAATGTTAACATTTTTACTGAACTACCATTTTCAAAATCACCTTTTTTTTATTTTTTCTCCCAAAAATGTCCCGCTGTTTTTACCTCGTCGCATCACAAAACGCAAAGGCGGGAAGGGAGGGGTAGATTCTTAGTCGAGTTAATGGTTTGACCCTTTTTCGCAAAAACAGCGAAAGACGGAGGCCAATTCGAAGCCGAAAGATGGAAGGGGGGGGAGGATATGGAAAAGCCGGAATTTTGGCAAAAAGCGAAAGGCCAAGAGATGAGGCAGCTGCTTTCTTCCCCCCTTCGACAAGACGATGTGTTTTTGGTGCTTCAAGGCCAAACCAACTGAAACGAGGGCTAACCTCCAAGGTGACGAGCCATTAATAACCGTCTTTTTCGTTAATTAAGCTGTTATTTCAGGGAATTTACTGTTATATGTTCGTTTTGAGTTTTATACGATTTAGTGGTTTATACTGATGGCATTTTGTAATAGATATTGATGTTGGGGTGTGTAATATGGGGCGAAATTGTGTTTGGGGATTAAAAATACTTTTTGGGTTTGAAATTTAATTTTTAGCATTTGTAATAGTTTTAGGCTTATTATGATTAAAAAAGCCTTTTTAGGCTTAAAAAATGTGTTTTTAGGTTTAAAATTAAATTTTAGACTTAAAGCGTGCTTTTAAACTTAAAAACGTCTTTTTATGCTTAAAACTGCTTTAATGGTTAAAAATTTATTTTTTAGGCTTAAAATTTTGGGTTCCGGGTTTAAATTATTTTTTAAGCCTAATAACACTAAGTGAAAATAATGCTTTTGCATCTAGTCCTAGCCTGTTAAGCTTAAGCCAACTAAGCCTAAGATTATTAAGCTTACTAATTCTAAGCTTAAGGTTACTAAGCCTAAAACTACTAAGCCTAAGCCTATTAAGCTTAAGATTAATAAGCCTAAACATACTAAGCCTAAGCATCTTAAGCCTACTAAGCTCAAGTTTACTATGCCTTGGTCTACAAAGCTTAATCCTGTCTCTACTAAAGATAGCCTTAGTAAAGGTATGCTTATTGAGCTTAAGCCTATTAAATGTAAGCCTACTAGACCTAAGCTTCTGTCTGAATTTTTACCAAGGCCTAAACCAATGCCTAAGCTTACTAATCCTAAATCCATTAAGCTCGACCTTTCTAACCCAAATCCTACTATTTTTTTAAAGCTATGCCTTTGATTTTTTAAAATATTTTTCAAAATTTTAAAATTTTCCTTTTTTTGATAGTTTCTGTTCGAAAATGATCGCGCAAAGTCAGTGCGAAGCGAAAAGAATATATTTTTTATGACAATTCTCGTCGCTTAAGCAAAAAAAACGGTTATCGAAACGTTGCTTCTTCATGGTGAAGGTTTTGTTACAACGCCGTCTTAAGGGTTTTCATCAACCCACCCCCCCCCCTTCTCATTTTCTTCTTATGATTAGTTTTTGGAAATGTGATTGGGTAATAGGTCAATCTGAAGCGTATGTTATGATACGATGATATATTAAAGGCATGGTACAATGATATATTGATTTTATGATAGAGTGGTAACGCGTTCTTACTATGATATATTGGGGCTGGTTTCGGGGGTGTTTGGAAACAAAGTTCTTGCGGTTTTATGGAAAGTGGGATTTGTAAAGAAAGTTCTTGCCATTTTTTTTTTGTAAAAAAAGTTTTTGCTATTTATTGTTTTGTAAAGAACGTTCTTGCCATTGTTTGTTTTGTAAAGAAAGTTCTTGCCATTTTTTGTCTTGTAAAGAAAGTTCTTGCAGTTTTTTATTTTGTAACGAAAGTTCTTGCCATTTTTTGTTTTGTAAAGAAAGTTCTTGTCAATTTTTGTTTTTTGGGAAGAAAGTTCTTGCGGTTTTATAAAATTTGTATTTGGAAAGAAAGTTCTTGCCATTTTCGCAAAAAAAGTAAAAATTATGTGTTTTGCAGCCTGCGGGTGACAACTTATACGTTGGGCGCATTTAAAGGTTTTAAACAAAGTCCTTGCCATTTTTTGTTTTGTAAAGAAAGTTCTTGCCATTTTTCGTTTCCTTATAATATTTTCGCTTTTTCGTATTTCACAAAAAAACTCATCAAAGTTTTGTGGTTTTGTATGTCAAGTAGGTGTCTAACTGTGATCGTAACACGTTTTTTCAAAAAACGGCATCAACCCTTAAACAGCGTTATATTGAGGTAGTTTAAAAGCCGACGAGTTTAAATTAGTTTTTTGTAGACCCTACCTTGTCTTTGTAAAGAAAGTCTTTGCGTTTTAACAAAAAATTGAGTTTTTTAAGGAAAGTTCTTGCCTTTTTTTACAAAATTCAAAATAAAATGATTTTGCAGCCTGCGGGTGACAAAAAAAATTAGGGGTTGGAAGGAAAGTTTTTACATTTTTTTGTTCTGTAAAGAAAGTTCTTGCCATTTCATGTTTTGTAAAGAAAGTTTTTGCGGTTTTTCGTTTTTTAAAGAAAGTTCTTGCTATTTTTGTTTTGTAAATAAAGTTATTGCGATCCCAATTTTTATTCAATTTTTTTTTCAATTTGAAAACCTTGATTTTTAAAAGCAAATGTTACGCTTATTAAGCCCAATACCGGCTAACTTTAATTTTAATCGCATGAGTGGCTAAATCCCGTTAATTTTTCTTCCTCTCTCACCACCCTCTCTGATCCCCTCGCTCTCTCGGCTGACCTTAAAATGACGCTCACTGACTTTTGGGGACTGAAATGGATCTGAGGGACGCGATAGCCACTTTCGCTACAATCCCGATCTTTCATATCGTTTATTGCGGGTCGATTTAAGAGATTTACTGCGATTTAGGTAACCAGACAGCTTTTTGGAGTTTTTAGGTAATAAAAAACATTTTTTGGATTTTTTAATTAAATTTAGGTAACAAATAATAAATTTTTTGATTTTTGTAAATTTTTTTGATATTTTATAAGTTTTTAGGTAACAAACATAATTTTGTGCATATTTTTGGAAATTTAGGTAACAAAAATATATTTTTTTTTATTTCTATGGATTTATCTTGTAATTTTAAAGTTTTTTTGATATTATATAGGTTGTTATAATAGTTAACAAAAATTTTTGTTGCTTACATTAATTTAAGAGATTTAGGTAAAAAAAACGATTTTTCATAAATTTTTTTGATATTTTTTGGAATATTAGAGGTTTTTTTAGATATTTTTACATTTTTTATAAATTTAGGTACAAGACAAAATATATTTTTTTATTTGTGTAAGCATTTTTTTTTGTATTTAAAAAATTTTTAGGTAACAATTTTTGTTTGCAAATTTAGAAATTTAGGTATCAAAAGACAATTTTTTGCAGTTTTTTACAATTTAGGTAACAAATTTTTTTTTGATTTTTGATAGTTGATCTAGTTTTGTGAAAGCTTTTTTAAATATTTCCCGGATTTTTAGGTAACAAAAAAAACCTTTTGCGTTTTTTTTAAATTTAGGTAACAAAGGGAACCTGGCGTATTTAAAAAATTTTTTTTTTATATTTTACAGATTTTTAGGTAACAAAATGTCTTTTTCATAAATTTAGGTAACAAAGTATATATATTTTTTCATATTTCTTACTATTTTAATTAAAATTTTTTTAGCGATTTTTTTAGGTAACAAAAACAATTTTTTGTCGCTTTTTTCATTTTTCGATGTTTGTTACCCAATTTTGTTTTATATTTCTAAATTTATTTTAAAAAATGTGATTTTAGATCCATAATGCCGGAAGTGCATTATACACCATCCACGATGGACGACCTTCTTCAGCAACTACAATATATAGCGGACGAATCGTTGGATGATAACAATGCTGTCAAGTAAGGAATTTTAAGATTTTTTTTATTTTAAAATTACTTTGTACCCCTATTCTACAGGGCCGGGCGCTGGGGGGCGGGGGGGTGGACGGGGGGAGGAACCCTCTCCAAAAAAAAATTTTAGAAAAAAGTTGAACGTGGTCCCCTCTGTGGATTTTCCGAAAAAATTTTTTGCAAAAGATCGGCACAGGGAGGTGCCGATTTTTGCGGCCCCGGCCCCCAGACCAAAAGTCATCACCCGGCACTGGCCCTACCTTTATTCCTACCTGTGTTCCTACCCCCATGCTCCTACTTCTAACTTTACCCTACTCACTAAGTCAGAGCCGATCCGAAAAAAAATTCCACAGGTAGAGCTACCTGTGGACCCAAAAAAAATTTTGGGTCTCCCCCCCCCCGAGAAAAAATCTGTAACGACGCCCCTGCCTACCTTTCCTCATTGTGTAACTAATAAAAATTTATTTAATTTCAGTTTAAAAAAGAATGCCTTATTGGGACATCCTCTCAAACAAGCCTTATACTCGGAATTGGTCAATATTAAAAGGAAAACAGGTAACTCTATTTCCAGCCTGTCAAAAAAGAACTACGTATTTTACCAAATTTTTTTATTTTAAAATCGAATCAAAAAGAATTGGTCTCTTTTTCTATATAAGTACACTAATTACCGCCCAATTCTTTTTGACGCGCATTATTTTTTCGGTCATAAAGTTTATAGAAAAATAAAATTTTACAAATTTGGTTACAAATCAAATAGAGTAACCCTTAATTTCAATTTTTATTTATTTTTTATGTTTTCTAAAAACTTTTTGACATATATATAACAGTTTTAATCAGCGCGTCAAAAAGAATTGGTTCTTTTTGCTATATAAATGTATTGGAAACTGACCAATTCTTTTTGACGCGGTTTGATTAACTGTTGGTTTTTTGCTTTTTTAGGTATGAATTGAGCTACAAGTAGTGTATACTGGTTTGAAAATGATTTAAATTTAAATTTTCGAAGTTTCTAAAAAATTTTTTGTATTATACTAGCCTAAAATATTTTTTTGGTCTGGTATTAGACTAGCCTAAAATTTTTTTTTGATTTTGTATTAGACTAGCCTAAAATGGACGTTTTTATCACTAAACTATTGTCTTTAATCAATTTTTATCACTAAACCCTAATTTTTCAGCCCTATCAATCCGCAATCAACCAGACGAAAACTGTGAGAACCCGGACCTGGCCCGGCTGGATAACATGCTGCTAGTCGAGCACGTTCTCGGCCCCGACCCATCGCATTACCCTCAGGCGTCGACGGCCGGTAATTCCACTGATAACACGGAATATTTGCAAAAATTGTCGGAGATTCGTCAGGAATACCATCAGAAGATGACCAGCTACGAGATGGAGTGTAGCAAGTTCACGGAGCACGTAAAGAAGCTGCTGGACGTGCAGGGTCAGGTGCGGCCGATCGCTGGTCACGAGATTCAGCGAATGGTCGGGATTTGTAAGAAGAGGCTGTCGCGGTTTCAAATTCAATTGAAACAGAATGTCTGCGAGAAGATTATCAACTTGAAGACCAGGATGTGTGATGCACGGTGAGTATCTTGTCGTTTTATTGTCTGGATTTAGAGGAAAAGTAGTCTTAGGCTTGGTAGGCTTAGGTAGTCTTAGGCTTGGGTTGTCTTAGGCTTAAATCGTCTTAGGCTTAGGTACTCTTAGGCTTAGGTAGTCTTAGGCGTAGATAGTCTTAGACTTAGTGGGTTAAGCTTGGTAGGCTTAGGTAGTCTTAGGCTTAGGTAGTCTTAGGCTTAGTGGGCTCAGGCTTATGTCAGTAGAACTAGGCTTAATAAGCTTTGGGTAAATGAGCCTAGGCTTAGTAAGCTTTGGTGTATTAGGCCTAGTATTAGCATGGCAGATTTACTAGCCTAGGCCTAAAAGGCTTAGGCTTACATCAGTAGAAATAGGCTTAATAATCTTTGGCTAAGTGGGATTAAACTTAGTTGGCTTAGTAGGCTTAGACTTAGTAAGCTTATTTTTACTATGATTAGGTTTAGTAAGCTTAGACTTATTAGGCTCAGTAGGCTTAGCAGGCTTAGACTTAGTAGTCCTAGGCTTAGGCTTAATAAGTTTTTTTTCAATTTTTGAAAAATGTATATTTTTACTGCCATTCTTTATATAACTAACCCCCGCAGAAATTCAGAGCCAAATCCCAGCACTCGCAGTAATTTTTTTGGGTCGTTTTACATCGGGGCAAGTATTATATAAAACCATAAAATTACATCAGAAAACGTTGCGCAATAGTATTTCTTGCAATTTTTCTAAATCTATCTTATTATACTATAAGGTTAGGTAACAGCGCAAGGCCGTGTAAGTAGTGCCAGTTCAACGGGTGCGGTTTATAACAATTTTAGTAGGCTTAAGCGTTTTATGTTTTCAAGGCTTAATATTAGGAGGCTAAGTATGTTTAGGCTTAGTAAACTTATATTTCGTATGTTTAAGATTTCTAGGCTTAAGCTTAGTAGACTGACACTTTGTAGGCTTAGGCATAGTAGTCTGAGGCTTAGTCGGCTTAGGGTTAGTAGGCTTAGGCTTAGTAGGCTTAGGCTTAGTAGGCTTAGGCTTAGTAGGCTTAGGCTTAGTAGGCTTAGGCTTAGTAGGCTTAGGCTTAGTAGGCTTAGGCTTAGTAGGCTTAGGCTTAGTAGGCTTAGGCTTAGTAGGCTTAGGCTTAGGCTTAATAGGCTTAGGCTTAGTAGGCTTAGGCTTAGGCTTAGTAGGCTTAGGCTTAATAGGCTTAGGCTTAATAGGCTTAGGCTTAGTAGTCTGAGGCTTAGTCAGCTTAGGGTTAGCAGGCTTAGGCTTAGGCTTAGTAGGCTTAGGCTTAATAGGCTTAGGCTTAGGCTTAGTAGGCTTAGGCTTAGTAGGCTTAGGCTTAGGCTTAATAGGCTTAGGCTTAGGCTTAGTAGGCTTAGGCTTAGTACGCTTAGGCTTAGTAGGCTTAGGCTTATATAAAATTTAAGTCAAAAAACCAGTCTTTAAGACAATTTTTTAATTTAAAACTTTCAGTCGAAAACGTCGAAACTTTTCGAAACAAGCCACCCAAATCCTGAACGACTACTTCCACGCCCACATTGGAAACCCATACCCATCGGAGGAGGTGAAAGAGGAGCTGGCACGGCAATGTCAAATCACGGTCTCTCAGGTCTCGAATTGGTTCGGCAACAAGCGGATCCGCTACAAGAAGAACATAGCCAAGGCCCAGGAGGAGGCGTCGTTCTATGCCCGGAGGCAGGCCGAGAACAGTCAGCACGCCCTATCAGCCGCCGCCGCAGCAGCTGCCGCCGGTGCCATGCCCATGTTGAATCCGTATGCAAATCCGGCCGCGAATTTGGCCGTAAATCCGCTGACCTCGGGCACCGATCCAACCCAGTTTTATAGCCAGCTACCCACCGACTTGACTGATTTCAAATACTTTTTGTAGTGATTTTAAGCGAGAAATTGTATTTTGTTACCTAAAGTAAATTAAATCTAAAAAATTTTGATTTGAATTTCAGTTTTTTATTTAATAATGGCAATAACTTTTTTTACAAGTCACTTTTATCGTATAACTTGTCACCAGCAGTCTGCAAAACATTACTTTTCAAATTTGCTGAGAAATTGGCAATAACTTTCTTTACAGAACATTGTTTTTTTTGAAAAACTGCCAGAATTTTGTTTACAAAACCATAAAGTTTACCTTTCGTATAACTTTTCATTTGCAGGCCGTGAAACGTAAAATTTTGCTATTTTAACCAAAAGTCATTTATTTTTTATAATTTATTACTAAAAAGGCAGTAAATTTCTTTACACAAACCTACTTTTTTAAAAATTGTAAAAACTTTCTTTACAACTCTCTTAAAACGCTTTCATCGTATAACTTGTCACTTGCAGGCTGCAAAACACAAACTTTTTACTATTTTAACGTAAAAAACAAATTATTTTAAAGCTTGTGAGAAATTAGCAAAAACTTTCTTTACAAAACCTAATTTGCTTGGAAACCGTAAGAACTTTCTTTACAAAACTTTTAAAACTAGTCTACCGTATAACTTGTCACCTGCAGGCTGCAAGACCTTGTTTTTAAATTTTTAATGAAAATGGCGATATCTTTCTTTTAGAAATGTCATTTAAAATAAAAAAATCATCAAAAATTTTATTTTTTCTAAAGGTTTATATAAATTTTGTCATTTTTTCAAATTTTTTTATCATTTTTCCTCATTTTTCTTCTATTTTTCTACCTCCACCAGTGCATTCGTCGTGAGTATAAAAGCAACGGCGGGCGAGGGAAACGGCCATTCTGGTGATCATGGGAGACAAGAGTGCCTACATGGGACCGTACAGCGGCGGCGGTGGGTCCAGCGGTGGCGGCGGTGGAAGCTACGTGCGCGAGGAGTACGCCTTTGGAGGAAGCAGCGGTGGCAGCAGCGGAGGCAGCAGTGGTGGTGGCGGCGGTGGCGGCGGCGGCGGTGGATCCAGTGCCCCTCAACAACGTTCCGATGTGTCGTGCTACTTGGGCCCCAAGTGATTGTGGATCATCCGGTTGCACCCACGTTTCCATTTCCGATTCTTATGTTTCCGTTTTGGAATAAACGCTACTGTACATGTTGTGATGGCTTGATTTTTTTTTGATTTTTATGATTTTTTTAAATTTTTTTTGGTTTTAGGCTTATTTCTTGTTTTTTCGATTTTTGTTTTTAGGCTTATCTCTTCTATTGAGTGAGTTTTTGATTTTTATAAATTTTTTAAAATTTTATTATTTTAAATTTTTATTGATTTTTCGGCCGTGCAGGCTATTTCTTTTTCTAAATATTTTTTGCTCAATTACCTTAGCCTTTACAGACATGTCAATGAATATAAGCTGTTTTTGGCATTAGGCTTATAGGTTTGAGTTTGTTTTACTTTTCGGTTGATTTTGAATAGTTGTTGTTTTATTTTTGGTTTTGCCATTTTTTGGCTTGGTGTTCTGGTCCATTATTATTTTGATTATTTTTTAATTTTTCGGTTGGTGATAGACCCGGTTTTTCATAAGATTGTTATTTTTCGGCTTATCTTTTTTAGGCTTAGCTTTATTTTTTAGGCTTATCTTTGTTATTTAGGCTTATTTTTCGTTTTTCGGCTTATCATTATTTTTAGGCTTATTTTTAGTTTTTAGGCTTATTTGTTTGATTATATTTAATTTTTTTTTAATTTGATTTTGTTAAATTTTAATAATTTTTTAAAAATTAATATGATTTTGATTATTTTTAGTCTTCTTAAGGCTTATTAGTAGTCTATTTTTGAAAACCGATAACTTTGTTTACAAAAACTAATTTTTGGCAAAAACTTTCTTTACAAATGGCAACTTTTATGAAAAACCGCAAAAACTTTCTTTCCAGAACTCATTTTTATGAAAAATTGCAAAAACTTTCTTTCCAAATGTTAATTTTCTCAAAACCGCAAGAACTTTCTTTCCAAAACTCACTTTTTTCAAAACCGCAAAAACTTTCTTTCCAGAACACATTTTTATGAAAACCGCAATAACATTGTTTACAAAAACTAATTTTTTAAAAATTGGCAGAAACTTTATTTACAAAAGGCAACTTTTATAAAAAACCGCAATAACTTTCTTTCCACAACACATTTTTACGAAAACTGCAAAAGCTTTGTTTCCACAACACACTTTTATGTAAAACCGCAAAAACTTTCTTTACAAAACTTATTTTTATGAAAATTGCAAAAACTTTCTTTCCAAAACTCATTTTTATCAAAACCGCAAAAACTTTCTTTCCAAAACTCACTTTTTTCAAGACCGCAAAAACTTTGTTTCCAGAACTCACTTTTATGTAAATCCGCAATAACTTTCTTTACAAAACTTATTTTTATGAAAATTGCAAAAACTTTCTTTCCAAAACTCATTTTTATCAAAACCGCAAAAACTTTCTTTCCAACCAACAACTTATCAAAAAGCCGTATTTTATTTTCTCAAAACCTCAAAAACTTTGTCTACAGTACAGTAAGTGCCGAAACCAATGAAAACACAAGCAAAGTAGGTACTGTAAACGTAGAATTGTGCTCGTATCTCCATGTCCATGACCGTATTCACAACATACGTCAATATTGACTGTAGTAAGAGCGCCAAAAAGGTATTGAAGCCAAAAATTTGACTAAACTTTTGGCTTGGTATGTGGCTAGCGATGGTGTTGCTGGCGGCTGTCATTAGCATTTGGTATATGGAGGAGTTGACTATGTACAGGAGATACGACGTCCATATTCGGGTAGATGAGGCCATTCCATAGAGGAGTAATGTTGATGTAAAGGACGAGGTTAGGAAGACCAGTTTGGAATATTTAGTCCAGTTGAACTTTGTGTATTGCAATGAAAATGTCAGTAAGGTACCTAAAGTAAAGGTTTTTTAATAAAAATGGCAAGAACTTTCTTTACAAAACAAAAAATGGCAAGAACTTTCTTTACAAAACAAAAATGGCAAGAACTTTCTTTACAAAACAGTTTTTTTTGAATTGCAAAAACTTTCTTTACAAAACCCAAAAAAATCATCCGTCGTATAACTTGTCCCTCGCAGGCTGCAAAACACAAAGTTTTTTAATTTTAAAAATGCAAAAACTTTGTTTCCAAAAGTTAATTTTTTTAAAACCACAAGAACTTTGTTTACAAAGCGAGAAATTGCAAGAAATTTCTTTATAAATCAAAAAATGGCAAGAACTTTCTTTCCAAAACCTACATAAAAGTGTATTCAAACATTCGACAACCCCATTGGCAACAAATTGCCCTTCTTTTTGCATTGGTACCCACAAGGATTGGATGTAATTGGCCACTTGAAAGGCTCCACAAGAGGCAAATGCCCACCAAATCGACCAGGTTAGTACTGTCGGATTCGAGCAGATGTACTGAAATGGCATAAATCATTAGGCCGTTCAATTAATTTTGAGCCCTCTTGAGACAAAATAGATAAAGACAATTTTTGTAAAGAAAGTTTCTGCAAAAAAAATTTGTAAAGAAAGTTTCTGCAAAAAAAAATTTGTAAAGAAAGTTTTTGCAAACCCCAAAAAAACCTTACTTTGATGATATTCCTGTCATCATGACGGCTTTTTTGTTGTAGTTCTGACGTCTCTGTCAGCATACCACTACTTTGTTGTTGGCCTTCATCTTCAGCCGAGATTCGATTCGCCATCTTCGGGTGGTCTACAGATGGCAAAAATAAGGTAAGTAAGAGCGCCAGAGACACTGTGGATAATGTTACCTAAAATATTTAAAATTGTCAAAATTTTTGACCTTGGTGTATTAGAATTGGCTTTTTTGTGGTCTGGAAACAAAGTTCCTGCAGTTTTTTAAAAGATTAGGCTTTGGAAAGAAAGTTCTTGAAGTTTTTTAAAAGGTTACATTTGCATACTTGCACCGTGCAAAATTTTAAATATTGTTTTGCACAGTGCAGTCAAAATTCGTTCATTTTGCACCGTGCAAACGCTTTCAATAGAATCTGCACTGTGCAAACGCTTTTAACTTAACCTGCACGGTGCAAAACCTTTACTGTTGGAAAAAATAAGGTGCAGCTAGGGTTAGACAGAGTAAAATGAAGAGGGCAGAGGGGTGAGAAGAGAGTTCAAGGTTAGTATAAGATGAGTGGAAGCCAAAATTTATTTTAAATTTCAAAAAATAGTCAAAACTGCAATTTTAAAAACTCACATAATTCAAAATCAAATAATCTGCCACACTGGTCGATATCAATATTTGAGCAGTAAGAAAGGCCAAGAACTTTCCAATCAAAGCCGAACTTCTGATGTAGGACGTTGCCTTTTTATACTGACTTTTGTCCACAACTGCATAAATATACGAAAAGTAGGCGATTCTAGACCCTGAGGCGATTCCTGAAAGATCAAAACTTAAAAACTGCAAGAACTTTCTTTACAAAACATAATTTTTACGGAAAACCACAAGAACTTTGTTTACAAGTCATATTTTTATGAAAAACCGCAAGAACTTTCTTTACAAAACGTATTTTATCAAAATACTGCAATAACTTTTTTTACAAAACGTATTTTATAAAAAAAAACCGCAATAACTTTCTTTACAAAACATATTTTTACGAAAAACCGCAATAACTTTCTTTACAAAAGATATTTTTAAAAACTGCAAGAACTTTCTTTACAAAACTAGCTCACCAAAAACAATTTGCATTATCTGCATCTGAAGTACAGTACGACCAAAGCAAAGTAATACCCATGTTGTCGTTAAAGACAGCGCTTCCAACACCACAACTGGTTTGTATCTCAACCGGTCGGTTAGGGCAAACACTGGAATCTGACAATATTGTAAGTTTTGGCTAAAATTAAGTTAAAAAACCAATTTTTATATGTTAAAATTACTACCAAAGTAAAAAGCGGAATGCACCGTGCAAAATAAATAGAAAGTTGACTGCACCGTGCAAAATCAATAGAAAGTGGGCTGCACAGTGCAAAATAAATGGAAATCCAACTGCACAGTGCAAAACAGTTTGCGCGCTCTCATGTTTTTCACGTGATTCAGCCGTGCAAAACAAGAAGAGGGCCCGATTTTTTTGCACCGTGCAACCATTATTACTTCTTTTTGCACCGTGCAACCCTTACTACTTTCTTTTGCACCGTGCAGCTTCTATTTCTCTCTTGCACCGTGCAGCCCCTATTTCTCCCTTTTGCACCGTGCAACCATTATTACCTTCTTTTGCACCGTGCAACCCTTACTACTTTCTTTTGCACCGTCCAGCTTCTATTTCTCTCTTTTGCACCGTGCAATCATTATTACTTTGTTTTGCATCGTGCAACCATTGTTACTTCTTTTTGCACCGTGCAACTTCTATTTCTCTTTTTGCACCGGGCAACTATTATTTCTTCTGTTTACACCGTGAAACCCCTATTTCTCTCTTTGCACCGTGCAAACAATACCTACCAAAACGACCAAATAAGAATATGTCCAAAAGGGGTACATCTGTTTGTAAATCTGTTCATTTGTGAATCCCTTGTCATTCGAGACCAAAAATGCGGTCAAAAATGGCGTAGCCGGTCGAAACTCTTTCAAAACTCCATAAATACAAATAAGTGCCAATATCACATTACTGTTCATGGTAAAAGCAAAGATAACAACAAAGATAAATATAGAGTGGCAAGGGATAGATAATATCAAGGAAAGCACTTTAGAACGAAATCGGTTAAGTGTTTGGCTTTAAATACAAAAACTGGTCGATTATGACAAGTTTAACAAAACTGGTACAAGATGGTACAAAATGGTACCTAAAGTTCAAAAATTATATTTACAAAACTTTACAGTATATAGAATGATATTAGTGTTCTTAGACACTTTGCAGAACAAATTTACAGTCCGTTTGATCAAAATATTCTTCTTGATATTGACTTTCGGGCAGCTGATGATAAGGAAATTCAGTTTTGAAATAATCGATAACAATCAGAAATAATCTAGGAAAACGTGTTTTTCAAGGTAAGTCTGGTCTAGAAAAGAAAGGTTCTAGATTATTTCGAAATTGGGTTCAAAATCAAAATGACTGCCATTTTCATATTGCCATAGCCATTTTAAATTTCATAATAAATTTAAAAGAAGCGGATGCCAGTTTTTCAAAAACGATGCTTTATTAGGTGCCAAGGTAAAAACCCGCCGTAAAAAGTCAACCTCTAAAAACAAGAAAAAGAGATTTCTAAGCCTAAACTCCATAAAAAATAAATCGAAGCCTAACCAATAAAAAATAAAAAATCAAAACAATAAAATTTTCAAAATGAAAAATGAGAAAACAGAAAATAATTAAGCCTATGATGAGCCCTATAAGCCTAAAGTCTACAATGATAAAGCCATAAGCCTAAAATCTACAATGATAAAGCCTCTAAGCCTAAAATCTACAATGATAAGCCTCTAAGCCTAAAGTCTACAAAGATAAAGCCTCTAAGCCTGAAGTCTACTATGATAAAGCCTGTAAGCCTAAAGTCTACTATGATAAGGCTTCTAAGCCTAAAATCTACATTGATAAGGCCTCTAAGCCTAAAGTCTACAATGATTAAGCCTATAACCCTAAATTAAAACAATTTGACATGTCTGTAAAGGCTAAGGTAAGCTCATAGTCAAGACTAAAAGCTAAAAAAAGCAAAAAATATTTAGAAAAAGAAATAGCCTGCACGGCCGAAAAATCAATAAAAATTTAAAATAATAAAATTTTAAAAAATTTATAAAAATCAAAAACTCACTCAATAGAAGAGATAAGCCTAAAAACAAAAATCGAAAAAACAAGAAATAAGCCTAAAACCAAAAAAAATTTAAAAAAATCATAAAAATCAAAAAAAAATCAAGCCATCACAACATGTACAGTAGCGTTTATTCCAAAACGGAAACATAAGAATCGGAAATGGAAACGTGGGTGCAACCGGATGATCCACAATCACTTGGGGCCCAAGTAGCACGACACATCGGAACGTTGTTGAGGGGCACTGGATCCACCGCCGCCGCCGCCACCGCCGCCACCACCACTGCTGCCTCCGCTGCTGCCACCGCTGCTTCCTCCAAAGGCGTACTCCTCGCGCACGTAGCTTCCACCGCCGCCACCGCTGGACCCACCGCCGCCGCTGTACGGTCCCATGTAGGCACTCTTGTCTCCCATGATCACCAGAATGGCCGTTTCCCTCGCCCGCCGTTGCTTTTATACTCACGACGAATGCACTGGAAAAGGGCACAAATTTGAATGCTTTACATTGGGAAATGACCGTTTGTGGGGAAAAAATGGGGGAAAATGGTTGAAATCGGCCGAAAAATTGATGAAAAATAGCGAAAAATATTTTTCCTTCTTCAAATCCACAAAAAAAACCAAATTTTTCGCTAAAAATCAATGAATTCTAGACCTGTTTCAAGACCGGATTCTGGATCGGCCGATATGTTCGTCAATTTTTCTTCAAAGGTTTTAGAAGCGTGCCTAAGCGCATGCGGGCCGCAGGTAAAGGTGAGAAACGGGCAGTCTATGCCCGGCCTTGAGCTAAAATTGAAACGACTTGAAAATTAGGCCTGGGCCCGAAAAAAAATTTTTTTAATTTTTAAAATTTTTTAAAACGGGCCGGGCCGAGCCGGGCCTAGAAACTTTGTGACCAGGCCGGGCCGGCCTGAAAAAAAATGAAAACGGGCCGGGCCTAGACGTAGCGGTGAGGGGCGTAAAAAGTGCGCCCGGCTCTTTTCTCACCCCTAGCCGCAGGCAAACTTGATACGAAAAAATTAAAGTTTTGTTAGTATACTTCTAAGCCTAAATAGTGTTAAAAAACCAAATTTCACAATGAAAAACGATTTAGAAAACTTAAAAATTGATAAAAATCTTGAAAAAAATTGTAAAAATAAAAAAAAACGATATAAAATTCAAAAACATAGTGAAACGGATAAAATTGCATCTTTAAAATTGTAACATACGGCTATGTTGGTATCAACCTCAACATTTTTCATAAAAAAAGCAACCACAAAGAGCAAAACTTCTTTTTAAAAATCCAAAACTTCAAAAAAATTTTCAAAATATTCGATTTTTCGCTATTTTTCATCAATTTTTCGGCCGATTTCAACCATTTTCCCCCATTTTTTCCCCACAAACGGTCATTTCCCAATGTAAAGCATTCAAATTTGTGCCCTTTTCCAGTGCATTCGTCGTGAGTATAAAAGCAACGGCGGGCGAGGGAAACGGCCATTCTGGTGATCATGGGAGACAAGAGTGCCTACATGGGACCGTACAGCGGCGGCGGTGGGTCCAGCGGTGGCGGCGGTGGAAGCTACGTGCGCGAGGAGTACGCCTTTGGAGGAAGCAGCGGTGGCAGCAGCGGAGGCAGCAGTGGTGGTGGCGGCGGCGGCGGTGGATCCAGTGCCCCTCAACAACGTTCCGATGTGTCGTGCTACTTGGGCCCCAAGTGATTGTGGATCATCCGGTTGCACCCACGTTCCCGTTTCCATTCTTATGTTTCCGTCTTGAAATAAATACTTGTTGGAATTTTTTGGGCTTTGATTTTTTTGGCTTTTATTGTTTTTGATTTTGGATCTTTATTTTATTTTTTTTTGTTTAATTTATATTTTTTTAAAGTTTTTAATTATTGGTTGTTTTAGGCTTGTTTATGTTTTTTTTATTTTTTTGTTTTTTAGCTTTGTCATTCAATATTTTTTGAGTTTAGGCTTATCTTTTTAGTGATTTACATGTTATTTTTCGATTTATAGGTAATATTGTTTACTATTTTGGTATTTTGTGATTGTCGGCTAGTTTTGTCGGCTTTTGAGTGTAACTTGAATTGTTTAGGCTTTTTATTCTTATGTTAAGGCTTGTTTGTTTTTTGTTTATTTCCGTCTATTTTGCATTGTTTTTCAGCTATTCCGTATAGGTTCAGTCGTTTCTATTCTTTGTTGTTGAATATGTTGTCATAGTTGATTGTCGTATAGAATGGGCTAATGGTAATAGTTTAAGACGACAATGAAAAATAAAAATAGGGGTAGAGTTATTGCTAGCAGTCAGGCTATGTCTAGGGCTGTGACTATGGCTATTGTTATGGATAAGGTTAGGGCTATGGCTAGGACTAGGGTTAAAGCTAGGGTTCGGGCTAGGACTAAGAATATGTCGAAGGCTAGCGCTATAGCTAGGACTAGTTGTGGCTAGAACCAGGGCAAGTGAACGGCTAGAGCTAGGGCATAGGCTAGGGGTTAGGCTAGAACTTAGGCTAGGGCTTATGTTAGAGCTAAGGCTAGAGCTAGAGCCAGGGTTATGGCCTTCTCAGAGCAAGTAAACGACTAGGGCTGGGGCTTAGGCTATGGGTTAGGCTAGGACTTAAGCTAGGACTTATGTTAGGGCTAGGGCTGAGCTATGACTATGGCTAAGACCAGGACCAAGGCCAGGACTAGAATCAAATCCTGGATTAAGAACAGGGCTGGGACCAGGGCCAGGCCTGAGACCAACCAGGACTGGCTAGGGTTAAAGCTGATGTTAGGGCTAGGGAGACTAGAGCTACGGATAGAAATGGAGCTGAGTTAGTCCATAAAAGGTCATTTTAACTTTGAAAAGCTTTAATTTTATAATTTATTTATTTAGTTTTTGATTATTTACATTAACAAATCCACACTTAGGCTTAAATTAGTTAAAATTATGCGATAACAATATGAAAACAAAGAACAATAAGATAAAAATGAACAATATAAAGAACAATAACATCAAAAACAAACAGAAAAGTTTAAAATCTCAAAAAATGAAATACAACCTAAAATACAGCATGAAAAATCCTGAATTACAGTATGAACAATCCTAAAATACAGTATGAAAACACCTAAAATACTGTATGAAAACCCTAAAATACAGTATGAAAAACATTGACAATAAGTAGAAAGAACCCGCTTAGGCCAACAAAATTCTGGCTAGCTGCAGAAAACTGACATGGAATCCTAGTCCGGTCCAATCGGCGGACCGAATTCATGGCCGACCGAGTTCTGGTCGATTTTAAAGCGTCAAAGTACCGTAATGTTCGTATTACAGTATGCCATTCTTCAATTGTTACGGATTTTGTTGAATTTGACATTGGTTGGTGGGTATACTGTAAGTTTTGGCCGTACAGTAGGTCGAAGGCACAGGATGAGTGGAGATCACCTCTGACGTAGTCTTGACGACATAGGTCTGAAACGGTATACTGTAATATCGATTTTTGTAAAGAAAGTTCCTGTCATTTTTTGCTTTGAAAAGAAAGTTCTTGCCGTTTTATGCTTTGTAAAGAAAGTTCTTGCCAATTTATGATTTGTAAAGAAAGTTCTTGCCGTTTTGTGGTTTGTAAAGAAAGTTTTTACCAATTTTCTGTTTTGTAAAGAAAGTTCTCGCCATTTTTTGTTTTGTAAAGAAAGTTCTTGCTATTTTACCTAAATCAGCCTAATTTGATTTTTGCAGCGTGCAGGTGACAAGTTATACGATGAATATTTTAATCCGCCAAAACCTACCGTAAGCCTGCTCCTTTTCCAGTTCTGGCCTCTTAATCCCTTGACATTTGGCAAAGACGTTACCCTCTTGAACCGCCTCTCTAACATTATGTACTGCCAGAGTACAGCCGGTCAGGCACAACTGTCTCAATGGTGCATCATGGTACTCCAAATGGAGCACCTTCTCCGGAGTATTGATGACAACATCTAGCCGGTTCGACACTTTGTGTATGACAATCTCGGTGGCCAGGTATGGGACCAGTAGTCTTACTGTAGTTTCATTTCTTTTGGCAATACTTAAGGGCGGATCATTGTCGGTACCAGCGAAGGTGGTACCGTCGGTGAAGGCGTTCGGAAGATGAGGCTCTTCGGCATCGGCATGGTAGGTTCTCGTCTCTTCGCAGAGACTGTTCGATCGGAATATTATTGTTACCTAAAAATTTGAAATTTTGGAAAAAAAATTTTCTATTTACTTTTTGACCTTGTACACCAATACTAGATATGGTAGGGTAGGGTAGGGTAGGGTAGGGTAAGGTAGGGTAGGGTAGGGTAGGGTAGGGTAGGGTAGGGTAGGGTAGGGTAGGGTAGGGTAGGGTAGGGTAGGGTAGGGTAGGGTAGGGTAGGGTAGGGTAGGATCAGCTAGGCCAAGACAAAATAATGCATGGTGGGGCAGAGCATGGTAAGGCAGGGTAGGGTAGACATGGGGACCGGGCCGGGCTTGTGCAATGTTTAGGTCAGGCCGGGCCTGCAAATCCCGAAAAAACCCGGCCCGGCGCGAAAAGTCCGGCCAGTTTCTACGTAAAAAATAGGGCCGGCCCTGTCCGGACCTGAAAAAAACTCAGATTGGACCAGGTCTGAAAAGTGGACCAGGCCCGTTCCCTATGCCTAGGGCAGGGTAGGGTAGGGTAGGATAGGGTAGGATAGGATAGGGTGGGGTAGGGTAGGGTAGGGTAGGGTAGGGTAGGGTAGGGTAGGGTAGGGTCAGTAAGCCTTCAAAAAACATTCACATGCTACTGTTCAGGTCTATTAATTAAGGTTAATTACAATTTAATAGCCGCCGGAGAGTCTCCTTCCAAAGTCACAATTTTTTTTATTTTTTCCGCGAACTTTTGGCTCAGACGGAAATAAAGTTTTTGCTGGTTAATTTATGTTTTTTTAATACTCGAAAAGCAGTGTGGTTCGATTTTGGTAAGAACACAAGTTTTGAAAACACGTTTCATCGTATAACTTGTCACCTGCAGGCTGCAAAACGTTTTTCTGTTAAATTTTTTGTAAAAATGGCAGAAACTTTCTTTACAAATCATTTTTTTTAGAAGCTGCAGAAACTTTCTTTCCAAAAACATATTTTATATTAAAACTGCAAAAACTTTCTTTCCAAACCGTAATTTTTAAAAAAACCGCAGAAACTTTCTTCCCAAAAACATTTTTTTTAAAAACCGCAAAAACTTTGTTTACAACTAAAAAAAACCCATTTTAGAGTGGCGCCAGATAGCTTCCGCCTAATTAAGCAGTGCGATTTACACCTGCCGACATAGTAATTTCAAATTTGAATACCGATACTCACCTTGGAAATGACAGTGATTGGGTACTGGGAATAGGTTTCTGGATTCATTGTTACCTAAAAATACGGAAAGGTATTGAAAAAGAAGTCCTATATACTGGATAGTACTAAAATTCTACGCTACCCTACCCTATGAATCTTATTTCACCCTGCCCTTTTATACCCAGTACCACATACTAAATAGTACCACAACACATTACCAAAAACTCATTCTCACCTGCACAACAACAAACTTGTTATCAATCAGCGGCCGAGTGCCAATCTCAGCACAAGTCTCGATAGCACCATCAGTACGTCGCAAATGTGATCTACCAAAGAAGGCACAAGTTCTTTGGTCTTGCCTGGGTATAGTAGAACACCTTTGCTCATCTTCCCCTTTATCAATCGATGAAAGAGAGAAAGAAGCGCATCTGAAGCGCTTCCATCGCTGATTGGCGGCTGTTAACGATGAATGGAAGTGAAGATAAGATCGACATACGTTTTGGATTGAGGTTAGACATTGCACGTACTCGTAGAGTACCTGAAAAATAACAATTTGATTCTTAATTTTTAAGCTTTTGACTACTCTAGCCTTGCCTTAGCCCTAGCCCTAGCCCTAGCCCTAGCCCTAGCCCTAGCCCTAGCCCTAGCCCTAGCCCTAGCCCTAGCCCTAGCCCTAGCCCTAACCCTAGCTCTAGCCCTAATTTTTTCATTACTCTGTTTTACCCTGCCCTAACTTCTCACCTTATCTTACATTACTCTATCTTAAATTTTTGCCTTACGTTGCATTTCCCTACCCTAAATTTTTGCCATACCCTGACTTACCATGCCCTAATTTTTTACCTTACCCTGCTTTTCCTTTCCCTAAATCTTACAGCGCCGACATAAAGACCCGCCATTTTTTATAAAAAATTACAGGAAGAGTATGGCGGGTTCTTTATGTCGGCACGTAATACGAGCCCAAAATGATAAAATTTCTTTTCAAAAATTAGATTTTTAAAAATTTTGTTTTGTGGCTATACTACAAACTCTACAAACTATGTTATGTTAGATGTTTGATGTTCATTTTCCAATAAAAGGTCGTAAAATCGTCGTCGCGATTTGTTTTAACATAAATTTTGAAAGGGAACAATAAAAAGGGCGTTGTCATGTTACAATGTAGGGTTTGGTTAACAGCTGAGTTCAACAAAACATTATTTTTCAATTTGAAAAAATGAAAAAAATTTAAAATTTAATTTTTAAAACGTTTTTGAAATAAAAAACCAATATTTCATTTTTTGCAGCCTGCGGGTGACAAGTTATACGATGGATTTTTTCTTAAGATTTTGTAAAGAAAGTTCTTGCCATTTTTTGTTTTGTAAAGAAAGTTCTTGCCATATTCAGTTTTTTAAACAAAGTTCTTGACTTACCGTGCAATATTCTGGAGTTTCGGATGGATTCAGAACCCTGTCGTTCATTAGTTGATTATATCTTGTAGTACAGTCATCTACGTTACATGAGGATACTGAAAACAGCATGGATTTAAAAACCGGACCACCGTACCGTACCGTGCCGTACCTTACCCTACCCTACCCTACCCTACCCTACCCTACCCTACCCTACCCTACCCTACCCTACTCTACCCTACCCTATCCTACCCTACCCTACCCTACCCTACCCTACCCTACTCTACCCTACCCTACTCTACTTTACCCTACCCTACCCTACCCTAACCTACTTTACCCTACCCTACCCTACCAGACTTACCAAAAGTTGATGACATCAGAATCACTACTACCAAATACTTATGTCCAACGTTCAGTTGGAAGCTGATGGCTTCCTTCGCCATGGCCACATTACTGCATGGTAAAAGTGATTAATACGGCTGTAAAATACTAAAAAATTATTGTAAAATACGAATAATTGATTTGCCGGGTTAAAAATTTTAAAAATTTAAAAAAGTTAAAATGAATTTCACAAATTGACTTTGACCGCCCAATTACACCTCCGAAAATATTGCACCGCCCAAGTTGTTTTGCGACTTTTTCGCGCAATAAAACTCACAACGTGAATCAAACGTGAACGGAAATCAACGTTCTTTATTGCAAAACAAAAAAAAACTTGGTATTCCACCCTATTCTGCCCTATCATACCCCGCCCTACTGTACTCAACCCCTCCTATTCTATCCAAGCTTACCTTTAGCCTTGCCTTGGGCCTTGCCTTGGGCCTTGCCTTGGGCCTTGCCTTGGGCTTACCCGGGCTTTGCCTTGCCTTGCTTTACACTCTACCCTACTGTGTATTTTTTATCCTATCCCATCTTGCTGTGGCCTATTTTACTTTACCCTACCTCGCTGTTTCTTATTGAACCCTACTTTGCCCTACTTAACTTTTTCTTACTACACTTTGTTTTACCCTGCTCTGTCCTACTCTATTCTTTCCTACCCTATTTTACCCTACCCTGCTGTATCCTATCTTACCCTACCCAATTCTTCAGTACGCTACCTTACTTTGCCTTGTATTGCCTTGTTGTGCTCTTCTCTAGTCCACCCTACAGTACCCTACAGTACCCTATTTTGCTCTATTGTAAATAATAAATAACTAATTTTTCCCTACTTTACTTTACACCACCCTACCCCACCCTATCCTACCCTACCCCAAAGAGCAAACGTCTAACTTTCAAAAAACAAGCCTAAACTTGTATTTATTTCATTGAGCCGCATCGTTTTCGCTGATTTCTAATCAAGCGGTAAAAGTTAATTTACTGGAAAAAGGGAAAAAGTAGTCGGCGACATTGTTACTCTTACATGTTTTAAGGTTTCTCATTTAAAAAACATTAAAAAGATTTGTTAAAAACCGCAAAAACTTTCTTTACAGGCTTAAAATTAAAAAAAAATGAAAACTTAGTTTACAAAACTGTTAAACAGATTCGTCCTATGACTTGTCATCCGCGAGCTGCAAAACAAAACTTTTTAAAATTTCATTAAAAAATGGCAAGAACTTTCTTTACAAAACGTAAAATGACAAGAACTTTCTTTACAAAACAAAAAATAGAAAGAACTTTCTTTACAAAATAAAAAATGGCAAGAACTTTCTTCACAAAACAAAAAATGGAAAAAACTTCTCTTTACAATACTATTAAACGGATTCATCGTATAACTTGTCACCCGCAGTCTGCAAAACAAATCATTTCGAAAGTTGTTTTAAAAACGGCAAGAACTTTCTCTCTAAACCATGATTTCTGAAAAACTGCAACAACTTTCTTTCCAAAACCAAATTTTTTTAAAAAATAGCAAGAACTTTCTTTCCAAACGATAATTTTTAAAAACCCGCAATAACTTTTGTTCCAAAACACGCCATTTTAATTGTTACAAGTAGCCGTATTTGAAACTATGGAAATGGCAGTAAATGTCACTTATTTTGGCATTGAAAGGGCTGAAAAAACACAAAACAGTGAAACAAAGGGAAAAATGAGAAAAGGATACCCTCGAATGCTTTATGGGATTCGGTGATTCGTCGAAGGCCGAATTCGAATAAAACTAGCTGAAATGCGCCAAATTGAAAAATATTTTTTTAGGGTAGATTAGGAATTAAAAATTTTTAAAATTAAAAGTTATAAAGAAAGTTCTTGCAATATTTTGTTTTGTAAAGAAAGTTATTGCCATTTTTTGTTTTGTAAAGAAAGTTCTTGCCATTTTTTGTTTTGTAAAGAAAGTTCTTGCCATTTTTGGTTTTGTAAAGAAAGTTCTTGCCATTTTTTGTTTTGTAAAGAAAGTTCTTGCCATTTTTTGTTTTGTAAAGAAAGTTCTTGCCATTTTTTGTTTTGTAAAGAAAGTTCTTGCCATTTTTTGTTTTGTAAAGAAAGTTCTTGCCATTTTTTGTTTTGTAAAGAAAGTTCTTGCCATTTTTTGTTTTGTAAAGAAAGTACTTGCCATTTTTTGTTTTGTAAAGAAAGTTCTTGCCATTTTTTGTTTTGTAAAGGAAGTTCTTGCCATTTTTTGTTTTGTAAAGAAAGTTTTGTCAACACAATCTTTATAAAAATTATATTTTGCAGCTTGCAGTTGACAAGTTATACGATGAAAGCGTTTTAAGAATTTTGTAAAAAAAGTTATTTCCCAAAAAATTTTTTAAAAACACGATAGATGAAATTTTTTGTTAAAAAAAACAAGATCCGAAGTCAATTTTATGAAATTTATGCCATAATGCCTACTATAAATAACCCTTTGCGACTTCCGCTGCGCACTCGAAAAATCATTTTTGCCTATTATTCCTTCCTTATGACTAAAACAACATAATTATGTTTGAAATTGAGAAAAAATATTTAAAAAATCAAAATTTAAAAAGCCCAACTTTAAAAAGTAAAAAAATCAACAAAAATGCAAAACTCATTTCCGCCCTGAGGCGCCACATCAACGATTAAAGTCAATAAAGCCTTATCAGTCAGGTGCTGTTCTTTTATAATGTTTGCGCTAAAAGCGAGCTCCGAATTAACATTAACTTTTGCCTGTGATTAAGAAAACTGAATCTAAGGCCAATCTCAAAGCTTAGGATTAGGCGTAGGCTTAGGCTTAGCTTTAGGCTTAGCCTTAGGCTTAGGCTTAGGCTTAGGCTTAGGCGTAGCACTAGTTTTAGGCTAAGGCTTAAAATTAAGCTCAGGCGCAAGCTTAAACTTAAGTTTAGGTTTAGGTTTAGACTTCGGTTCACACTTAGTCTTAGGCTTAGGTTTACACTTAGGCTTAGGCTTAGTTTTCAATTTTCTATTTTCCTCTCTTAGGCTTGAGCTAAAACTCAGACTTAAGCTTGCGCTTCAAACTAGACTTGCTCTTAGGCTTATGCTTAAACTACTTATATTCTCTCTTACGTTTAAATTTAGGCTTGTGTTTAAACTTAGGTTTAGGCCTAAACTTAAGATTTGTACAAGTTTAAAATAACTTTCAATAGAGTTTCCTACTTTCATGGTAAAGTTTATTATGTCGTATAACAGTAAAACCTCGGTCAACATTATATTTACAACAGACATGTTGGTATGGCCACAGTAATGAAAAGAGATGCTTGTATGGCGACAATAATCTTGAAGATGATGAGTATTGAGCACAAGACATGGAGCTTGGCTAAGAGTTATGTTACACATTACACGTAATTGAAAATTGCGATAAGGCAAAGCAACCGTACAGAGATTTGGTCATCTACTAGGCATGAACAAGATAAGAAAGATGATATTACTATTATAAAAAGTGATTTGTTTCTCAGCGTGAGTCGTCGTCAATGGTAAAGGCACTAATTCTAGATTGAATTGTAAAAAGTAAAAAAAAATTATAAAAAAAACATCGACCGGTCGATAAAATTCAAAAAATTATATTTTTGAGCTTAAACTTATATTTTGAGCCTAAAAATATACTTTTTAGCCTAACACGATATTTTTAAGCCTAAAAATCTATTTTTAAACCTAAAATTGCATTTTAAGCCTAAAATTACATTTTTAAGCCTAAAAGTCTATTGTAAGCCTAAAAATCTATTTTTAAACCTAAAATTACATTTTAAGCCTAAAATTATAATTTTAAAAACCTAAAAGTCTATTTTAAGCCTGAAATTAAAAAAATTATATTTTTGAGCTTAAACTTATATTTTAAGCCTGAAAGTCTATTTTAAGCCTAAAATTAAATGTTTAAGCCTAAAAGTCTATTTTAAGCATAAAACTACATTTCTAAGCCTAAAAGGATATTTTTAAGCCTAAAAGTCTATTTTAAGCCTAAAATTACATTTTTAAGCCGAAAAGTCTCTTTTAAGCCTAAAATTATATTTTTAAGCCTAAAATTACATTTCTAAGCCTAAAAGCATATTTTTAAGCCTGAAAGTCTATTTTAAGCCTAAAATTAAATGTTTTAAACCTAAAAGTCTATTTTAAGCCTAAAACTACATTTCTAAGCCTAAAAGCATATTTTTAAGCCTAAAAGTCTATTTTAAGCCTAAAAGCATATTTTAAGCCTAAAATTATAATTTTCTGCCTAAAGTGGTCCTTTAAGCCTTAATGTAACCTTACTAAATATATATAAAACATAAGACCCACTACTATAACATAACCTAGACCTTCTCCGTACTAGCCAACTGATTCGCGTCCAATTCGACCAAACATGCGTTCGAAACGGTCGATACTTTGGTCGGATCGGTCGATGTATCAATGGTGGTGGATGACTCGATGGCCCAGGGTCTTGGCTCGCCTTTGGCATTGAAATCAAAGACCAGTGTGAACAGAACGACAATGGCCGTGATTCCGACCAGAATCCGAGTCCATTGGGCGCGAGTGTTATCTGGAGCCAAGAGTTCGATAAAGAATGGCAGTAGTAGTACAATGGTGCTGTTGGTGAATGAGTTTAGGGCCATTAGGAAGTGGACGAATCGGCCGGAAATCTGAAATTATAAAAAATATTTGCCTAAGGTTGTAGATTAAGCCTAAAATTCGATTTTAGGCCTAAAGATACATTTTCAACTTAGAATTTCATTTTTAAGCCTAAAGTCATTTTTTAAGCCTGAATGTTGATTTTGAAACGTAAAATCACTTTTTAAGCCTAAACTTTCATTTTCAAGCCTAAAATCATATTATAAGCCTAAACTTTCATTTTTAAGCCTAAAATTTCGTTTATAAGCCCAAAATCATATTTTAAGCCTAAACTTTCATTTTTAAGCCTAAAATCTCGTTTTTAAGCCTAAAATCATATTTTAAGCCTAAACTTTCATATTTTAAACCTAAACTTTCATTTTTAAGCCTAAAATTTCGTTTATAAACCCAAAATCATATTTTAAGCCTAAACTTTCATATTTTAAACCTAAACTTTCATTTTTAAGCCTAAAATTTCGTTTTTAAGCCTAAAATCATATTTTAAGCCTAAAATCACTTTTTAAGCTCAAACATTCATTTTTAAGCCTAAAATTAGGTTTTTCAAAAGTAACATTAGTACCAAGTGTACCATTAGCACCATTTTGCCCTAATAGTCCATTTTAAGTTTTAAAATTAACTTTTAAGCCAAAAGTAAGGTTTTTTAAAGTACCATTAGTACCAAGTGTACCATTAGTACCAGTGTACCATTAGCAGCATTTTTACCTAAAGACCAATTTTAAGCGTAAAATTACGTCTTGTAGTGTAAAACCGTAATTGGTTGTGCCATTCACACCCCCCCCCCCTTTTTTTAAACCACGCTCCCCCCTCCCCTTCCCAAAAAATTTTTTTTATAACCTCACCAGCACCCCTCCCCCCCCCTTCCCCAAATCCCCAAAAAATTTAAAAATTCAAAATCCACCTACCAGCTGAGTACACTTCGAAACGCCAACACAATTCAAAGCACTGAAGACCATGGCCGAGGTGAAGAACACCTGTGCCAATGTGGTACTACCAGCCGGACAAAAAGCCAAAGCCACGAAACAAGCCCCCATCAAGAACTGGGATACTGTAGCAAACAGTATGACTCGTCCTCGGTTACCCAAATGAGGAATACTGTCACTGCACGGTCCGGCCAGAATCTTGACGAACGTGCCGATGATGTAGGGCAGGGCAGTTGCCATGCCCGTTTTGCGCACTTCAAAGCCTAGCACCTTGTTCAGGTAGACTGGACCATATTGGTTGAAGATTAGGTAGCCAAGGTTGGAGCTGAAACATGTCATCAGGATTCCGATGACAGTCCAGTCTGTGAAGATGGCATGGTATGGGATTTTGGCTGAGCCATTACGTCTTGGAGCGTAGGCGGTCTTGTTTTTGGTTATGGTCTTTAGTTCTTTGGCTGAGACATTTCTGTAAGAACATTTTTAGAAAAGATACGTAGTAAGGTAGAGTAAGATATGTTAGGGTAGAGTAGGATAAGGTAGGGCCGGGCAGGACAAGGCAGGGCAAGACAGGGCAAAGCAGAAAAGAGAAAGGCAAGGCAGGGCGAGGCAGAAAAAAGCAGAGCAAGATAGGGCAGGGCGAGGCAGAGCATGACAAAGCAAGGTAAAGCGAAGCAGGGTGAGGCAAGACAAATCGTAGGGTAAGGCAGGGAAGGCTAGGGTACGGTACGGTATGGTACGTTAGGGTATAATACGGTAAGGAAGGGTAGAGTAGAGTATAATACCGTATGGTAGGGCAGGGCACGGCAAGGTAAAGTAGGGTAGAGTACGGTAGAGTAAGGTAAGGTAGGGTAAGGTAGGGTAGGGTAAAGTAGGGTAGGGTAGGGTAAGGTAGGGTAGGGGTACGGTAGGGTAAGGTAGGGTAGGGTAGGGTAGGGTAGGGTAGGGTAGGGTAGGGTAGGGTAGGGTAGGGTAGGGTAGGGCAAGGTAAGATACGGTATGGTACGGTAGGGCAGGTAGAGTAGAGTACAATATAGTACGGTAAGGTAGGGTAAAGTAGGGTAAGGTAGGGTAGTATAGGATACGGTAAAGTACGGTAAGCCAGGGCAGAGTACGGTACGGTATGGTAGAGTAGGGTACGGTAGCTTTAAAAAACTTACTTATGAAGAGCAGGAGTGTCTCTATAAAATCCGTAAAACAGAATAAAGGTAATAATTGTCAGTCCACCAAGTAGATAGTACAAAGCAGCCCATCCAAGCTCGCTTTTGCAAAATACCCCGCCCAAAAACATGGATAGCATTGGGCCGAATTGTAGATGACAAGAGAGGTATGCCACGTATGTACCACTTCTTTTCCATGTGGCCCAGTCAGCGATTATTGAGCCCATCGCTGGCCATGAGGTGGCTACGGCAAAGCCCTGGAAATTGATTTTTTAGTTATTTTAGGTAACAAAACATCATTTTTTAGTTATTTTAGATAACAAAACATCGTTTTTTGAATATTTTAGGTAACAAATTTTACAAAAACCCAATTTCTAAAACAATTTTAGGCACCTCCCACCTGCAAGAATCTAGCCAAGAAAACAGTGCCAAACCCAACACTAGCAGCCAATGGAGTCAGTAATGTAGCCACGGCAGATACCACGCCATACAAGGTGAAGGTCTTCCTCACACCAAGTAGAGACGTTAGATATGTGATTGGCAACGTTCCGACGATCGTTCCCGTCGCAATCGCTGAATAGAGCCACGACTTTTCAAAGTCTGTGAACATGTCCTTTTGAGTTACTACGTCTGGAAACGAAATGTCAATATGTATTGATTTTTATAGTATTATCACTTAAGAATGAACTATTGTAAAAATATAAGCCTAAAATTACAATTTTAAGCCTAAAACTAAACTGTTAAGCCTAAAGCTGCATTATAAGTTTAAATCTACATTTTGAAGCCTAACGCTATATCTATAAGCCTAAAATAAAGTTTTGAAACTAAACTTCAATTTTTAAGCCTAAAGCTACTTTTCTCAGCCTAAACTAATGTTTTAAGCCTGAAATTCAATTTTTTAAGCTAAAGCTGCATTTATAAGCCTAAATTAAAGTTATAAGCCTAAAGCTACATTTATAAGCCTAAAAATTCGTTTTTTAGTCTAAAGTTCCATTCGTAAGCCTAAAATAAATTTTAATCCTAAAGCTACAATTATAAGCCTAAAATGCAATTTTATAAGCCTAAAGCTACATTTATAAGCCTAAAATGAACATGTAAGCCTAAAATTAAACTTTTAAGCCTAAACCCACATTTATAAGCCTGAAACAATGTTTAAAGCCTAAACTCCCATTCCTAAGCCTAAATTCCATTTTAAGCCTAACTAAACATTTTAAAAATATTAAAAAACCCACCTGTACCATTAATATTTTCATTATGCGCGCATTTCATGCAAATAACCGTAAAGTTGAGAGCCAGCGAGTTGGCGATGACCGTTGATAAACACAAGATTGAGACGAGCATGACCAGGTACCGAGTACGTCCAAAGAAGTACACTCCCTGAGGGTTTTCGGTATCATCGGTACCAGTTTGACTTGTACCATCTAAGCCACTGTTATTGGAGTCATCTGAGCCTGTTTGGAAGTTTACGCCTTTTTGAGGTGTACCAAGTGCAGCGGTGGTACCAAGTGTACCATTTGGTCCAAGTGTACCATTTGGAGATAGAAAGCCGTTGACGGAGTCAATAGTACCAAGGACATCATTTGCACCAATAATAACATTCAGACCACCATTAGTACCAAATGTACCATTAGCACCAGGTGCACCATTAGCACCAAGTGTACCATTAGCACCATTTTCACCTTCAGAATCCAAAACCGACGTGGTAGAAGATTCTGGATTCTCCTCCTTCTCCACTTCCGATTCTACTGCCAGTTGTGGCAGCGTCTGCCCCACCGTCAAGCCCAAACCGGCCTCCAAAGCGCCCTGCCCAACTGGCAAACCCTGCCCAATACGAGGCTGTTCGGTCGAATTGGCAGAGATGTCGACTGGCGGCATCTTTTGGCAAACCGGTTTTGTTTCTTCGTATGCTGAAGTTTTGAAATTTTAAAAAATTTTTAAAAAATTAGATTTTGATAATATATCGGTAAATGACAAATTATATCACGGAGAGGCTTGGAAGTCAACAAAATCGCAAAAAATGGCAAAACATTTTCAAAAAGTAGTGTTTTGTTACCTAAAATTATCAAAAAATAATGTTTTGTTACCTAAAATAACTAAAGAATAATGGTTTGTTACCTAAAATACTCAAAAAATAGTTTTTTGTTACCTAAAATCACCAAAAAAATATTTTTCATACCTAAAACAAAAAAAATATTTTTTCGAAAAAAATTTACACCGCCCTCCACCAGCACTAGTGTCCCACCCCTGCCTCTTTTTCCTTCAGTATGGACGTCCTTTCTGCTCCATCCACCCCGGCAGCAAATAATTTTCCATCTTCTCCCCCCCCTTATCCCAACAACAATTATATCACACCCCTCTCCACCCCCTTTCCTTAACAAGAATTATATCCCACCCCCCTCCCGCTTACCCCAACAACAATTATATCGCACCCCCCCCCCTTTACCTTAGCAACAATTGTATCCCACCCCACCCTTACCTCAACAACAATTATATCCCACACCCACCCCCTTACCCCAACAACAATTATATCCCACACCCACCCCCCTTACCCCTACAAAACATATATCCCACTACCTACAACCCTACCTACATATAACCGTCCCTTTTGCCCCAAAACCCCCCTAAACCCATGATTTATATTAAAATTCGTAGCGACACCCCTTCGAGCCGAGTGTCCTGCGACAAGTCGTTGCGACACCCCTTTTCGCTCATTCACAACAAAAAGCCATAGCGACACCCCTCGTATTACAAAATGAACACATTTCGGTTCATTTTGTAATAATGCCTCTAATTAACGGTAATAAATCAACAATAGGGGTACGGTATGATGGTCATGTTACGTCTGACAACGTGACAAGGCAGAGGTTTATCAATGTTGTTGTAATAGATATGGTTAATTAATCATCGTGGGTACGTCCGGTCGAAAAATACGTAGAAAAAACATTTTTAGGGGTTTTTTTGGCAGGGCGGTCAAAAAGTTTGTGGAAAATTTGAAATTTTGTCGTTCCGGTCGAAAAATACGTAGAAAAAGCATTTTTAAGGGTCGTTTTGGAAAGGAGGTCAAAAATTTTGTGGAAAAAACATTTGTGGGGATCGTTTTGCCGTCCCGGTCAAAAAATACGTAGAAAAAATATTTTTGAGGGGCGTTTTGGCAAGGCGGTCAAAAAGTTTGTGAACAAACCATAATTTTTGATTTTCGGTCAAAAAGTTTATAGAAAAAGCGTTTTCCCTACCCTAATCGACCCTACCCTACATTACCCTACCCTACCCTACCCTACCCTCCCCCTGCCTTTTTGATAAGACTGCAAAAGCTCCTAACATCAAGATATTACACTTCCCACTACATTTGCAAACATTGTAAACCCAATGTTATCAATTCAAACCCAAAATACGCGGAGACAGTAAACAACCCCCCCCCCTCTCTTTAATGTGTAAATGGGTCTCGAATTTTCGTGTACTCACTCGTTAAAACAACTCCACATGATCCAAATGATGTATTGTTTTTCAAATGGCATACTGTAACACTTGAGAAACGGTCCTAACAAACTTTAAACACGTACAGCAATTTTGAGAAATATGACTAACGAGACTTCTTTCTACTGTAACTTTTTTTAATTGAGAGTTGTAAACTTGAAAATTGGTGATAATATAGACAATTCACATTGTCATCAAAGGTATAAACCAAAATTGTTTACTTTGGTTTGGTTTAAAAGTTACAGTAATTTTACCACACCCTCCTTTTTTCAAAAAAAAACCAATTTTTAACTTTTTTTTCAAAATAAACGCCAAAATTTCAAAAAATTCAAAAAGTCAAATAATACACTTTGTAGACTAGAAAAAGCGCTAGCTAATCCTATAGTTTGGCAAATATATATTGTTCTATAAAAAAGTTATATTTGATCAAAGGCCCAAAAAGACCGAATTTCACCAAGCGGAATCGAACTTTTTTTTGATTTTGGACATTTTCAAATCAATATAACTCTGCCATTTCTTAATATATCAATATGAAATTTTTAATATTAGTACGAAATTGAATGCTTTACAAGATTTTTGTGTAATTTAAAAAAAAAAATTAATTTTTGACAAAAAAAATTTTTTGAACTGTGAAAAAATGGGGTACGGTAAAAGTACTGTAACTTTAAAATTTTAAAAAATATTAAAATTTAGTTTTTGGGGTTGTTAGTAAATAGCAATAGCTATATTGACACTAATTTTCAAAGCTTTAGCTAGTTTTTTACAAAAGTTATGATTAAAAATAGTTCAATTTTTTTAAAATTTAGGTATAAATGATCGTTTTTCTTTAAAATTCGATATAAAAATTAGAAAAACTGACATAAATACCCTTTTATGTCTATAAAACCAAAATTCTAACCCCACACTGCCCAAAAATTTTCCCACCCTAGCACTAATCTTACACTACCCTCCCAAGTTATGTTATCATAGCCACTCAAAGTGTGGAACCGAGATCGAACGAGGAAGTCGGAGATAACCCAGCTTCTTCACACATCAAAAAAGCTCTCAAAAGACAAAGTTTAGGGGACAATAAATATTGTCTAGCAAAATGTGTCATTGGGAAAAGAAATACGTTTTTGACGAAAAATGACTTTTGAAAAGGGGTTTTGGCGGGTTTTTTGTAGTTGAAAAAAATTTCAAAATTTATTTTTTTTTAATTTTGAAATTTCAAAAAAAATTTTTTTAATAAAATTTTTTTTATTTTAAATCCAAAAAAATTTTAAAAATATTTCAAAAAATTGCCCCTAGAGACCAAAAAACCTAATACTAAAGCGTCACAAAAGTCTTGTCGTCATTTTACATTGATTTGATAGCCAAAAAACGACGAAACTTTTTAAACCCGTAATTTTAAAATTTTAGTCAGAAAACCCATGCCAAGCCTTATTTTTTCTAAATTTTCTACTCTACCCTGCCTTACTGTACCTTTCCCTCCCCTTATCATATGTTACACATACTGTAATGTCACATGTTTAAACAAAAGTGAAAACTTTTTTTTGATTAAAAAAATGCACCAGCGTGCGCCTGGTAGAACGATAAGAAAGTGTGGTTGCAAAACAAAACTTTGTGTTTACATAATTAATGTTACCAGCAAAAGATACAAGTTGCAGATACGACCAGGGCAGGGCGCTGGGGAGGGGACGGGGGGGGAGAACCCCCCCCCCAGAAAAAATTTTCAAAAAAAAGTTGAACGTGGTCCCCCCTGTGGATTTTTGGAAAAAATGTTTTGCAAAAAATCGGTACAGGACCTTTTTCGACCCTCGCTCCCAGACCAACAGTCCCCGCCCGGCACTGGATATGACCAAAGGTAGGTTGAGGTAGGAAAGTTTTGATACCCTACCCTACCTTACTCTACCCTACTCTACCCTACCCTACTCTACTTTATCCTGAATTACCCTACACTGCCCTATCTTGGCTGCCCTTGCCTTGACCTACTGTATGTATGGTGCCTAGCCTTACCTTGCCCTTCTTTACTTTGCCTTACTCAACTATGTTCTACTGTATATTGCCTTACTTTTCGCGGCCCTACTCTTTCTCGCCTTACTTTACCTTACCCTGCCCTAGTCTGTCTTGCCTTACCTTACATTGCCTTACTCTATCTTGCCTTACCCTACCCTGTTTTACACAATCTTACCTCACAAGACTTAACTCGATCTCACATTACCCTACCATATATAGAAAAAACTAAATTTTAAACTATTTAAGCCTAAACTAAACTACAAATAAGCTTATAGTTTTACACACATAGACGTAAAAATAAGCCTAAAGTTAGTAAAACCAAATATTATCCAGCTGAAAGTAAACCTAGTCAATACAAAACACAAGTCACGGTTTATAAAAGCTTCCTTTCACTTATATAGTACCAAAAGTTAAGCTATGCTTAATCATTTAAATGCATTTTATATTGCAGTTCAATATAATAAACCCTTTAAATATATATTTGCATAAATCAGCTACAAAAACTTTTAACGCTTCTCGAAAATTCGCTTGCACTTGATCAGTGCAAAGAGATAAAAATATTTGATTAAAGAATAGCTCAATGTCATTCTGCTATCATAGTTTAATAATTTATTCAAAAAATTAAAATGATTTTTTTAAATTTTGAAACCGCCCTAGTTTAGTTAGAAGTGGCTATCGCTTTGATCTGAAAAACCAGGACTAAGACCGTGTCCTTAAATTTTTTGACCGGACCGATCTTAAAAATGCATTTGACCAAACCGGAGCGAAAGCCACCTCTAGCCCGAACCTTGGTCTTGACGATAGCTTGGCCCCTAGTCTTCGCCGTAGCTTTAGCCCTGACCGTTGCATTAGCCATAGCCTTAGTCTTAGCCTTAGCCTTGACGATAACTTGATCTAGCCTTAGCCGGAGGCCCTGAAGTTGTTCGACCGGACCGACAACCATCTCTAGCCCTAGTATTGACGATAACTTGATCCCTATCCTAAGCCCTAGCCCTAGCCCTAGCCCTAGCCCTAGCCCTAACCATAAAGCTATTTTTATTCTTTTTTTATCATTTTAAAGTTATATTTTTCATAACTTTAAGGGTTTCTTCAATTACGAGACTTGTTTTTTACTATAACCAGAACCCGAAGTAATTCAAAACAATAAAAGTTTAATAATCAAAAGTACAAAGATTAATCATATATACTTCAATATAGACTGAAATGTCTTACCCTACCCTATCCTACCGTACCCTACCCTACCCTACCCTACCCTACCCTACCCTACCCTACCCTACCCTACCCTACCCTACCCTACCCTACCTACTCTACCTACTCTACCCTATCCTACCGTACCCTACCCTACTTCATCTCGTGATGCCCTACGGTATCCTACTTTACCTTGTTGTACCCTACCCTACTCTATC